CCCCGGTCCAGTTTTTTCGAATTTGGACAACTTGGGAGTTTGTGTACTTCAACCCCCCAATTCCCCCCGCCGGGATTGGGGGGCTGGGGAATTCTGGGAGTTGAAGTTCACATGTCTTCAAGTTGCCAAAGTTGAGAAACACTGCTGTAGACTATGTAATTGCTTCTCCAAGTCCCTCCTTAACAGCCCGGAAGACCCACACCAGCCATCCCTCCTTAACAGTTCTTTCATACAAGGTTATCTCTAAATTCCTTCACAATGCTCAAGGGAACAAAAATGTTCAAGTCTTTGGAGAAACACGCATGATTAATGCAGCATCTGTGTATCCAACATGAGTACAAAACTACAAGTAATTACTGACCCACAATTTGCCCTAAGAGAGTTACATAACTTGAGTTTTCATCCATTCAAATACTACCTATGCTGAATTCAATATTTCCTAGGAGTTTAACTTGCTGGGGATCAGAAAAGTCACATCATTCGTCATCTCAGCTTCCCTTTCGTTGACTTATTAGGTTGCTGGGTCAAACTTGACTTTCTGCATGGTATTAACTTTCTTATCGCTGGTTGTTATTTCAGAGCTGACTTCCTTATCTCTTCATCTTGCTTGGTCTTGTAGACATACACATTCTTCTCTAAGATCTAATATTGGTAATTCTGCTCTAACTACCTCTCCCAACATTTTAAGTTAATAAAATATTGAAGAGGCGTGTGTGGATCTGACATCTTCGTTGGTATATGAATATGAACCTTACTTTTAAAAATATTAATTTTTAAAACAGGTTTTTTACCACATTTCCTTCTATAGCAACAAAAATAATTTCTGATTCTGTCTGACTTATTTTGAAAACTCACAATCTATACTGAAAATAGCTCACTAAAAGTGTTTAAACTGGCTACTTTGCATAAATATTCCTGAAAAAAACTTAGTTCCTTGATGATTTAAAATGTTTTATTTTCAGGTTGCTGGCATAATCTCAGCTGGAATTGTATTAATTGCTATTGTAGCTTTGGGGAAACTGCTGGAACCTCTGCAAAAGGTATTTTATTCTAATATATTTCACCATTTATTTAATCTTTTGTGTTTCTGATAAACAGAAATCCCTCTCTTTTCCTACATCATACAGTTTAGCTATTGTTGTGGGGATAAAATAAAGGGAGATCCCTAAATTAGCTGCCTTGAGCAATTGAAGGGAAGGCAGTACAGGGAGTCCGCAGGTTAAGAACACCTGGGTTACAGATGACCCATAGTTAAGGACTGAGCCTATTGTAGCAAAATTCAAGTTAAATACACAATGATTCGAGTTCAATACACAATGGCTTGAGTTCACTGCACAATACTGCTTATACAGTATTATACAATAATGCTGTTCTGACTTACGTACAGTCTTTGATTCCAAGATGCAACCACCATCTTGACTTTTCCAACACCCCCCCCACGACACCCCTGCATATATCTTCCTTGGTATCTCTCTCTCCTTACTTGAAAAATAAAGCTAATGTTTCTTTCTCTCTTTGTAGTCTGTTCTGGCAGCTGTGGTCATCGCGAACTTAAAAGGGATGTTCATGCAAGTATGCGATGTCCCACGTTTGTGGAGGCAGAGCAAGGCAGATGCTGTGAGTCCAATTACTCTTTTGTTCAAAAAAGCTGCAAATTGTTGGTCACACTTGAACTAATCTCTTCTCTATTTAACCAGCTGCCTTTCATTTCATTTAATAATTAATCCTTAACTGAGAATCTCATGTCATGGGGAAAAATCAAAACAAAGTGCTAGATCATTGTAGATTTCTGACCATTATAGATCTGAGGGATGGTTTTGTTATGCCACCTGTAACCCTCTCTAAGTAATTTTCCTTTTATGAAATAGTCTTCCAGGGTTCCTACATAGGTCTTGTTTTCACTGAGGAGGTATAAATAATATACAGGTTATAACAGTTCAAGAGGATGGCTGCACAAAAATGTATAAATCCTGCATGTTAGGAAGAAAACAAGAGTACAGTCCGTTCCTCTCACACAGGGTTTCTCAACCTGGGCAACTTTAAGATGTGTGGACTTCAACTCCCAGAATTCCCCAACCAGCAAGGCTTATCTTAACACATCTTAAAGTTGCCCAGGTTGAGAAACCCTGCTCTAATAAATACTTCTTGTTGGTTAGTGGAAGAAGCAAAGCTAGCGTGGATCCATGCCCCCGTTTAATCTGTGTTGGACAGCCACTCTTCAACCATTATGGGGAGGTGTTAACTTCCTCACATTCAAGAAAGTAAGATTAAATGAATATAAAACAAATGCTTATCAAATTTGGTAGAACTAGATCACATACTGAAATTTATACTGGGTGATTTTACATCTCCATTTATTTTTTTTCCAGATGATCTGGGTTTTCACATGTGTAGCGTCCATCATCCTGGGGCTGGATTTAGGATTACTTGCTGGCTTGATATTTGCACTGCTAACAATTGTCCTGAGAGTTCAGTTGTGAGTATAATACAAAAAAGAATTTTGCACCCAAGACAGGAAAAATAAATGCAAATCACTCAACAGACTGCATTTTTCAAGCATGAAGTGTACCATCACTGGATATGATGTTTAAAATTGGTGATGAAACTGTGATTTGTTCTTATGGTAAAATCAAAATAAAGGGTTCACTGGACACTCCTTTATAAGGAAGTCAGCTGTAAAGTTAAGCCAGCCTGTGACTCCAGAAATAACAAGAATGCTAAAAAAAACCCAAAGGCTACCCTGAAAAGTCCAACATTAAAAAGGCAGCCTTTGTCTCCATTTCCAATTAAAAATAATGTGCTTCTTTAGCCATACAAACACTAGTGAAACTTAAGAAATTTAAGAAACTTCTAATTTAGCTGCTACTGATCTGTTTGGCAGAGAGAAGGTTATTCTTTTGTTTCTTTGGAAAAAGTTTCTGTGCTCACACTGTTTTGGCCTTAGGGTGGGGAGCTGTAAGTCGAATGCTTCCATACCTGCCAGAAAGTATTTGCATACAGAAAACTAATAGGACAGCCCATTATCAGTTTTTTTACCACTTTGTTTTTTAATGAGGCAGCACTCAAGCACCTATCCATGCATCATTTGATTTTGCCATCTCTACAAGCTGGGATTGAAAACTCAAGAACTCCATGGATACGCTGGATACTTCCTGCGCTGGGCATCTGTAGAATTTTTTTGCTTTCATCAAAATGATGAAAGCCGCATCTCACCTGAAGCTCCACCTGTTTGGAGTGTGCGTGTGATGTCACAGATGCTACAAAAGGGGCAGGGCTTGCATCACAGCAACATTCTTGGCTTCTCGGGAGGAGGATGCTATTGTAGTCTCTGCTTTATACATTTAGCTTTCGTTATGATATCTAAGACGAATATATTGTTTGGGCTTTTCTTCTGAAGCCCTTGAAGCATCCTCTCACCTCCATCATGGCTGGCCTTAAGGTAAGATAATGGAGAAGGCTGCAAAGAAGAAAGAGTTCCAAGCAGTTGTACTCCATAAGTCACTTCTAGGATCAGTCTGATCATCTGATTAATCTCTTGCCAACTAGACTTTTGTTATTTATTTCTCAAATTAGATAATACATTACAGCTCAGCTACCACTGCTTTGGTTATTTATTTCACAAATTAGGCGATAAATTATGGCTCAGCTACCATTGCTTGCAATTAATTGTTGTGTATGCTACATTTGTTTAATATTTAAATCTGTATGTTGATCAATATTTTATTTTGTTTTGTCAGTCCTTCCTGGGGTAGTCTTGGCAACATTCCTGGCACAGACCTATATAAGAACATCAAAGAATACAAAAATGTAAGACTGTCTAGCAAACTAATATTTCACACACTTAGAGAAAAAAAATGATATTGCTTTAAGATTTATTTCAGAGTTGATCGAAATGCAGTCTGCATGACAAAATGATTGGTACATCTATTTCTGGTGTCTCATAATGAGTCAGAAAAGATACAGTGGCTGATAGAGAATTAATTATAATATGAAGCATTTCAAGTCAAATCAATTCATTTCTATGTATATTTACTACTTCAATAAATTAACTGCACAAACTGAATTCCTGTTAGATGAATTCTTTGGCTTTCTGGCCATAGTCCTGTAAAGACTGTTTTTAAGAAAGATCACAGCATTTTCCCTCTTAAGCACTGGAGGAGAACCTACTGAAGTTGCAGAACTACAATTCCCAGCATTCCTCATCATAGGCCAAATAGTCTTGGCTGCTGGGAATCATATTTCAACAACATCTGGAATGCCAGAGGCTGCTTGCTCCTGCTTTTAGACAATAATACTAGGAAAGAGAAGTCTTGATAGAGGGGGACGATGGTAGTCATAAATCCTAAGGAAAAATAATATTTTCTTTTGTTAGAGATAGATTGGGCATCGGAAAAGTGCATAATCTTTACAGATCTAAAACAATCAATACTCTGTGTGTGTGTGTGTGTATATATATATATATATACACATACATACATACATACACACACACACACACACATACATACATACATACATACACGTGCTATCAAAGAGGTGGTGATCTTATTGAAATCCCTCCTTGGCCACTACTTCAGAAAAGACAAACATCTACAAATATATAGAATCCATACCTTTGCAATATGGTGTATTTTATATCTATGAATAACATTAATTATTGGTTGGTTTATTTTTTAAAAAAAACCTACAACTAATAGTTAACAGTTTTGCTGAGTGCATTAATAGCCAGATCCTCCCTTCCCTACAGATCCAATTAGCAATTCATCGAGGGCACCAAATGGTTTCTATAGACTAAGGTTATAAATAAAAAATTTGCTACTACCTTTGAAACATCTGGGTATTGCTTGTTTGGTAGGAATACCTCAATCTCCTCATCATGAGTGGAGTTCATCAGATTCAAGAGCAGGTCTATGAGTGCTGATCACCAATGAGAGTACAGTGGGCACTCTGAAGGGATGTGAAAAATAGACACAACTTCTACGTTTGAGCAAGTACATACTTGATCCTCATATGGAAGGCTGGCATATCAACCAGCTGTCACCCTAGTAGAGAGAGGTCTATACTGGCTAGGGAGAAAACCCTTCTTTGTGGGTTATACAGAATCTTATAGAAGTGATTGGGGGGTGTCCAGGGGGAGAGAGAGTTTATATGAGAGATGGGAAAGTTTGGGTCTGCCTATCTGTATGTCAAAGTCCCATACCCTCCGCTTAAGTTCTATCAGGGTTTTTTCTAGGTCTAAAGCAAATAGGGCTTGCTTGTAATGAGGGAAATACTTATTTTCACAACAGGTTGTTGAACCTGAAGGAGTGAAGATTCTCAAATTTTCAAGTCCCATTTTTTATGCTAATATTGATGGCCTAAGAAGCAGTCTGAAATCCACTGTGAGTAGCGTGTGATATTTTAAAATGTTCGCTATTTATGCTTATCAAAATATCAATACAGTCTTCAATCTGAAAGCATAGCAGGGGGAAAATTTGCCGAAATGAGACAGACCTGGATGTGGCTGGTAACTGGCTGAAAGACTGCTTGAGAATGTGTGTTTTCTTCCTTAAATTCTGTGATGGAAGAAAGCCAGCATATAAATATATAAAAAAACGTTTTTTTCTTCCTGGCATTCCTGCAGGTGCAGGGTCTACTTTTTCGGATCAACCAAATGTTGATCCATTGGTTGTGACAGGAATTAACCAACTGGCTTGTCCCCTGAGCCTGACACGGGCTGAGAGAGAGGGGCTGGCCCAAAGTCCCCCAGCCGGCTTTCATGCCTGAGGCGGGACTAGAACTCACCATCTCCTGGTTTCTAGCCTGGAGTCTTAACCATTAGACCAAACTGGCTCTGATATAAAAAAAACAACTGAGGTCCATACAAGGTATTCCTACCATATGTAAAAATGACTAATACAAAATTACTAAATTCTACCCTTTGTAGGTGGGATTTGATGCTGTGCGGGTGTACAACAAGAGGCTCAAGGCTCTGAGAAAAATACAGAAACTGATCAAGAAAGGAAAATTAAAAGCAACAAAAGTAAAGTGTCCATATTTGTTCATCACTCAGTTGTTTTAAAAGGCTTTTTATCATGGGCAATAGATTTACTGTACACATGATCTGTTTTTCTATTTTATTTTAAATTACTGGTAGGCACAAAAATCTAATTAGCAAGTGAGTCTCAAGATTCTTGTGAATCCCCAAAGTATTTAATTCACACTGTTACTTTCTCTCTCTCTCTCTCTTCTTGTGTACATCTCGCTATTTAATGTTTAATATAATTTCATGTGTGAAAGCAAAGCATTTTCAAAATGTAGTATAAAAACAATATAAAAACCATATTCAATAAAAAGAGGGGAAAGGAACAATAAGCGGACAAAATAATCTAACATAGTGAGAATGAATGAATATGACATATAGCAACAGTATTTGAGGGAAACTGATTCCTACATTAAATTTCTGAAAAAAACCCGACTTGCCTCTTTGAGTCCCATGGCTTTGGAAAAATTAATGGGTAGAATAATGAAAGCAAGGGGATACAGAGCTTGGAAGAAAGGGAAAATGCATCAGAGCTAGAGCATCTAGGTCAAGCAATAAGGTTGACTACGGAGAAGAAGGTTCAAGGATTAGAGAGTAATGAGTACAAAATTAACTTGTGACCTGGAGAATGACTTGAAAGTGTATGTGGGTGACGAGGGTCAGCAGGGGCCAGAGTTGTGGGCAGAACCTTGGTTGAGCTAAGAAGTATTCAGCTGGAAGGAGGAGGATAATCAAATGTGCTCATTCAACAATTAAATTTGGGTGCAGGGAAATTAGTACCATGGTGAGATTTGCCACAAGAATGTGCTTATTTCCTTGTGCAGATGGCATCATGAACTTTGAAATAAATGGTAAACGTTGGCTTCCTGTGAACCCCATGTTTTGTTCTAAGTGACGCATCTTTTCATAACTTTCTATAAGCGTAGAATTGGATTTTCTGTTTTCCTGAACAAAAATACCTCCCTTTTATTTAAAGGTGCAGAATTTGTTTGTATATTTGCTGTAGGGTCATAGTCCAAAAATAAGAGTTTGGAATATATTCAGTGTAGTTCTTTTATGCAAACATTTGTATGTCCCCAAACATACAAGTTGGCATTTAAACAACTGGGCATCAATTCTATTCCCAGGAAAGTTTCTCTATGCATTATCATGTCTCATGTAAAGAAAATAGGAAATGGTACCTTTGCCGTGAATTGATTAGAAATATTTCGTTATGGAGAAAATCTGTATTTATCTGCCCTTTGGAACATCTTGCCCCCGGAGGTGAGACAGGCCCCCTCACTCC